ATAATAATAATAATAATAATAATAATAACAATAATATCAGTGAAACGTTTGAATTAATGCAGAGTTTTAATAAATAGACAGATTAGAAGGATAAAACAAAAGACAAATAGGGTGACGAGTGACGAAGTGTGTGACTAAAGATGAACAAAAGAGTGATATAATAAATGGGGGAGGGGGAGTATACTACGACAACAACAACAACAACAACAACAACAACAACAACAACAGCAACAACAACAACAACAACAGCAGCAGCAACAACAACAACAATAAGAACAACCTACCTCCAGTGTTCCCCGTGTCTTCTCCATCGCTAGCTCCCCGACCACTGTCGCTGGCTGTGGCCTCTCCCGACGTGTCGCTATGTAAGTCTTCGCTGGCCAGACGGGGACGGCCCTGACAGACAGACACACAAATTGACAAACAGTATTAGCTTTTGGCTTGGTGCGATAATTTGTTTGTTTGTTTGGGGTTTTTTTTTGGTTTATATAAAAGATCAATGAAGAAAGACAAAAAAGAGAGGCAGTGGGAGAGGTGAAAGAGAGAGAGAAAGAGAGAGAGAGAGAGAGAGAGAGAGAGAGAGAGAGAGAGAGGGAGAGAGAGAGGGAGTGTAGGGGAAATAATTTGAACTCTGAGATGTGAGGAGGAAAAGAAAGTGGGTGGGACGTGAGACCGGAAAACGGATCTTCTTAATATCTTTTAAGAGGGTGGAAAGGGGGGTTGGGGGGGAGGGGGGTCATAGGATGTCACTCAATTTTCCCACGACAGCGGTCAGTCATAACAATATCATTACGTTGTGTCGTCTGTGGTCTTTCCCTCTGACCTCCCCAGATGTCCAAGCTAATCAGCGTGTGTATGTGTCATGGGGGATGACGGTCGTTTCATTCAAAAAAATACGTGTATATCGCTCTCACAAAAAGTGCGTGTATTTCGCTTCTATTTTGGTGACTGCGTTTTGAGGACTGTTATTTCTTTCTTTCTTTCTTTCTTTCTTTCTTTCTTTATGTATTTATTATTTGTCTATGTGTTAAGTTATTTATTCCCTCACCCCACCCCCAGGGGGGGGGGGAGGAGGGGCAGTGCTACTGACTGAAGTGTTTTTAGGCCATTCCCAAAAAGGGGCCGGGGGTGTTATAAACATGTCTCTATGCACAGTAAAACTGTAAATGGGCGGATTAATCAATGTCATGTTCATACTATGCCGGAGCAACATAGGGAAAACTGCTGCTCTCTCTTTCCTTGTCCTTATTATCGTCATTTTTCTTCTACTTCTTTTGTATGTTTGTCACTCTCTTGTGAACTGCTATTTCCGTGTTGCCTTGATAGTCAGAGTAGACTTTGTGCTGTTTAGATTAGAAACGTGAGTAGAGTAAGCTTGATTCCCCCTATGGACTTCCCTGTTGACATCCACCCCTTGGCGCTCATATGTTCTTATGCAGTTGCTAGCACCGTAAAACGTTACTAAAACTAGACTAATTATTTATTTATTTATTTGTTTATTTATTTATTCATTTAGTTAGTTCGTTGGATATTTTGTCAATTATTTATCAATTTATTCATTTTCAAATAGAGTTCTGTTTCTTTTCTTTTCCTGTTATAATA